GTGATTGTTGCGTTCACGTTATTCCTGTTGCTGTTGTTGATTGCCTACGATTACTGCTGTCACATTGGATTTTACTCGCATTCTTTGTTGTATTCACAGCTGTATCATAAAAATTTTTTAATTTCTGTCACAGTTATAAACCTGGAACAACCAGCTTCGGGAATATTTGTTTCACATCCTACGTATAAAGTTTTCGGCGTATTATAAATAAGGGTGATACAGTTCACCAGCATGCCCGCGGCCAGATTGCAGATAGAATGGTGTTAATTTGGAAGAAGCTGATAACTGCTCCTATTTCGGCTAGCATCTATCTTGTCTTCTTTGGATTGCTCTCTAATACACATACAAACTCTGCATCTAGAAACACAGAAGAACGCTGGATCGTATTTACTACTTACGCTCAAGACCTGGATTATTGGTTTTGAGGCCTAGATTTAGTAGGAGCTAGAGCAGGTCTTTGTTTCAGCTGTATGCCTCTGGATTTTATCGTCAATTAAGAAATCAAGCCATTGATGCAGATGCTGTTCAGAAAAAACTCGCTTCTTATTCGTGCCTTCTGCTTAACACCAACATACAGCACGCATTTCGATTAATTTTCAGTAAAACTTTTGCTCGGACTTCAATGCCCCTTTGGAGAAATTTTGCGGCTTTTGAGCCACTCCAGCATCTCTCCTGTCAAATTTTATAACCATCAACATACTTTTTCCCATTTCTATCAATCCAACCGGTCGGTTTTGCAGTCTCTGATTGAAAAATTGACCGGTTGGATTCGTAGATATGCAGAAAAATGTGCTGAGGGATGCAAAATGGAGTCGACCACATCTTGGATGTAGCACTTATTGATCCTTAGAACTAACTCTTTGAGTGGTTGTTGTTGTCATTTCAGTTACTGGTTGTGAGTAATCGTAATCGCCTTCTTCAGCGGAATCATAGAGTGAAGGCGTCTTCACGGGACCACCCAAGCTGAACGGCGCTCTTGTGGTACCTGAACTTGCAGTCACAGCACAGTTTTAAGTTGAATTAGATGAATTATACTTTTATCGTCGTTGTGGAAGGTGGCCAAACAGAAAATCATCTCTTATTTTTTTTTTTTGTTTAAGGAACACAAAACTGTCATGATCTAACAACAAAGTGTCAAAAATTTATAGGATTTAGGAAGATTGCCTGTGCTAGTTGATAAGTCGCGCACTAATGTGTATGGTACCAACGAGAAGGCAAACGATCACAAGAGATTTCCGAACATAAATCAAGCAGATGATTGGTACCAGCTGAGAAAGTCTTCAGCTCAAGTCACAAGGACTTAATCTAAGCTGGCCAGCAACATTATTATATCTGAACCAAGCAACTTACTGCCTCAGTACTTACGATAAACCGAATAATAAAACAAACCCTGCTGCACGGTTTGTTGTCCTGGCGATTCTAACGGTCTCCATTGTTCTTCAGCAGGCTCAGCAGCATCATCTGTATAAAGTTCATCTTCAGTCTTCCGCTGCTGTTGCATTCTTCGCTGTTGTTCCTGAATCCTTCGCTGCTGCTCCTTAAAAAATATTTTTCAGACAACTATAAATGGTTTTTAGCTAAAACCTAACTGCAGATTCGGGCTGCTGAATGGAGATTTTACACTCATATTTGCACTTCTGCAAAGCTAAGAAGAGCAAGAGGCAAACGAAAAAACCAAAAAATTTTACCGAATTTCGAGAATCGGTTTTTTTATTCAACATATTCGTATTAATTGCAATTTTTTTAAAGAAGAAATTATGTAATTTTGGCTTCGAGTCAAAAA